TGTCTATCTATCATGCAAAGTAATTTTCATTTTAAGATTAAAAATACTTTTATGCATCAGAAAATTTTCAAATTTCACATGCAAAATCTTTATATTTTATCTGTTATTTTCATGAACAAATATCTTGGTGTATGATTTAGCAGAAGTTTTAACTTGTAATATTAATTAGTACTTGTTCAACTGTCCTACTTTTAATGGTTTTGAAACTTTATACATAACTTAAAGTCAGCCAGTGATTTGTAAAATGAATGATTTTTGTTTTTTTTTGTAGAATATTTTTCAAGTTTTTATTATTATGTTATTTTGGATAATAAGTTAATTACCATGACTTATACTTATCCAAGTTCTATATCTGAACTTACTGTTTTACAGTATATTCTAAGGTAATGTTATCCTCCTATTTTTTTTACATGCCAAAATAACAGTGATGCACTCCAAAATCTTATATATATATTGTCCAATATATCCATGTCTGACTGAACTTCAAATTGTACTTACGTAAAAAGATATACATCATATTTTCCTGCTGACTTTCCCGATTGTCTCTGTACAACTTTCCGACTCCACCCTGGTGGCATAGTTGGTTCAGATATCTCCTGACCATCTGAATTTTCTTCAATCTTCTAAGTTTCAATATAAATAAGTCATGAATATAATGCAGGAAAGAGTTAAAATGTAACAGAAATATGCAGTTTTAAATATCTTTAATGTATTCATTCAAAGTTAACTTTTCATTGAAAAATCAAGAAGAATTTAGCAATGAATATAGGATTGGGAATCCATAGCATCATAATATGCTACTTACTTGAAAAGTATTTACCTTCTAATCATGTTTATCATACTTTTTTTTATATAAATAAAAGTACAGGCAATTCAGCCAACTATAAAACAAACTACAGTGATGACTGCAATGCTTATAATTTTTTCATTTTTTTAAAGAAGTTACTAATACAAATAGCATCTCAATCACTACTTCTACTGTTGTATCCCAGCTGAAGAGCCCTGGTACTAGACAAAAGCCTTCATCAACACTGAATGTAGTAGATATAGTGTGGTTATATATTATATACACATTTTTAAGACTCAATCGAAAATTCTTGTTAATAATTTCAGTCAAAAGATGGTGATGAGTACATCAAAGTTTCTCTTATAGAAAAAAAAAAAATGAAACTGTCATGTAGAAAAGTGAAAAAATTTGTATTCTAAATTCAGTTGATATAAAAATATTTTCGTTTCGTGTACTCATGTAAGTAATTTCAAAACTTGATTTTATTTTATTTTTATGCCATCTAATCATATAACTTTGCTGTCTCATTTGATATAAATCCATATGCCAATCACATCATTCCATAACAAATCAACAATTTACCCCAAACACCTACAATATAGTTACATAACATTAGGCACATATTGTTACTCCACAATGAAAAATTAACATGACAGAGTCAAGGGGTCAAAAGTTATATTAAAGGTCAGTCAACCTTTGGCCAATGGATGACCCCCAACATTTAATGAACCTTTTGGTCAAAGCTAATTGCTCTAGTGACTTGTTTTAGGTGTCCTTCTATTGGATAGTTGTTGACATACCTGTTGAATGCAAGGGGAAGAAACATGGGTATCCAGGGAGTAACATAAGGGGTAAGATCCAAATACAGACCCTTTATGTCACTCCCCAGAAGGCCCTAAGAACACATGCCAGGTTTGGTGACAAGAACTCCAGTAGTTTAAAAGTCATAAGAGAACACACACACTCACACAGGTTTTTGTCACATAATGGTTCAGAAGCTCGCACAAGAAATCCCAAAGCAGTAAATAAAATGCATTTAGAAAACAAATACATACCGTATTTTTTGGTGTATAAGACACAC